TCGTCCCCTCTGCCTCCCAGCTGCCCCCAGCTGCCACTCCCTGCTTTTCCTCACACCTGCAGGCTCCTTTCCAAGTTTCACATATTTACTTCAGATGTAGCTCAAAAGTCACCTCATGAAAAGACAGACCAGGAGCACCCCATACACAGTCCCCTCCCCATACCCGGAACCTCAAATTCCGACTTATCTGGGATGTGTTTACTTTCTGTCTCTCCGCACTCGAATGGATGCTTCCCACAGCAGGGATTTGGTTTTGTTCTCTGCCAAATCCCTGCCTCCTAGAACAGGGTCTGAACCAGCAGGTGCTCAGTAATAATGGATGGATGCATGACAGTTCCTGTCTGAGCAGAGGGTGGATGATCCCTAGCCCAGCTGCAGCCTCAAACAGTTTCCGGCCAAAGCCGCTAGTCACCCAAACCAGGACAGATTCAGGCTTCCCACCCAACTGCCCAACTGGCAGGTGGGCAATAGACCACCTGGGCGTGTTCTTCCTCTCTGATCCCTGCCTCCCTCTCTCCCTGTTTCCCAGTCTGGTAGGGGAAGGAGGGGCCAGGGTAGCCCAGGGCTGGCCAGGACAGGCATTGGCTCCCAGGGGCCCAGAGGACTAAGGGTCCAACACAAGGCCCACCGTACAGGCACACAGAGAGCCTACTGGTGCCCCCACAGAGCCATCAAGGCCACCAGGGCACACATGAGCACAGAACCAGACACCTACAGACCCAGGCCCTGGACACTGAGAACCAAAGAAAGGCAGCCGTGCCACACAATGGCCGGTCATCTGGAGGCAGGGGGGCGGAGCCAGGGGTGGGGCCAATGGAACTTAAGCAGGAGCAGGGGCCAGCAGCTGGGGCGACTGGACAGAATGGCGCCTGCTCAGCCAGGGCTGGCCCTTGGCTCCTCAGGCATTGAGGCTAGCCTTCCTTCCTGAGCTGCTGTTTCCTGGCCCCGCCCTGTTGTTGCCATGGAAATCCAGAGCAACCCAGCTCCCCAGCCTGGTTCCCATGGAGCCCCTGCAGAGCAGCATTGCTGGGGAGGCCCACACAGCATGCAGCAGCACTGGAGGGCACACACAGCCCTACAACCACCCCCAAGAGCAGAACAGCCCCAAAAGACTGCACAATAGCCCCAGGACTCACATGGCCTTCCTGACACCCCAGCTTTCATCCAGTTGCCCTGAAAGTGGGCACAGCCTGTCGTAGCACCCAGGGTACCTAAGTCCCCTCGGACAACACCATATCCTGAATTGGGAAACAGCCTTTGAAATGTCACCTGGGCCCCAGGAGAACCCCAGAAGCCACTCTGCTGCACACACTGGGCCCCTGACTGTCCATAGTGTGTCTGCCGTCATTCACAGTCATGCTGCAGTCACAGGCAGAAGTGTGCTGCCCACCTCACAAGCCTGTGTCCCCAGCATGGAGAAGTCCTGCCTTGTCTTGCTGGCCTTTGAGCACCCAAGGTAGATGTGAGCCCAATCAATGCCCTTGGCATCAGCCTTAGACCTAACAGTCCCCCCACCACCACACAGCAGAGACCCCATCCGCAGGCCTCTGCACAGCTACACCCCGTCCCGTCCTCCAGGTCAGCACCCGACAGACACAATGACCTCCCAGTGCCCGCGCTGACACCCATTTCCACGTGGCACTCTTGGGACTGTAGTGAGCTGTGCATGTGAACCCTGGTACCAAACCTAACATCTGAAAGCACTGCACCCACTTACGCCTCCTCGCACCCTCACACCACGTGTGCCTGTCCATCAGCCCCTTCTCAGGAGCAAGACTACAGGCAGCATCAGAAGCCCAGTGCTCAGGAGAACTGAGAGCAGGAGGGCACAGGGTCTCAGGCCAGTGTCCACCTGAACCAGATCTGTCACTGGCTGAAGCACACAGGGCCACTTGAACCTGAGGTATCAGGTGTCCTTCCTGGAGGCACTGGCTGCAGTAGCTCAAGGAAGACCTCAGACTCACTTCCGCCAGCCAGGCCTGAAGCTGAGGGAGGTGGGAGGTAAGCAGTGTCTGAACCAGGCAGTTGCTCTGGAGCTGGGGTCTCCGCAGACCAGAGTGCTCCTCCACCTGGAGCCGCATGTGATGGAGACCACCCCTCCAGCCCCACGCTTTGGGAGCGGGAAAGGCCAGGCCCTGCAGGATTCTGTAATTGGTCCCAGCCTTGCTGTTCCTGCAGCCGCCAGGGCTGGGCTGGTGGGAGCCTGGGAGGTCTGTACCCGGGCAGCACTTGGGAGGTCCTACCACCCCCAGCCCAGAGCCGACCCGAACCAGACCCCACCCAGAGCCACCGAGGGGAACTACCCAGCAGCCTTCACAGGCCTCACCCGGAGGCTGGGGGCCAGTCCAGGCTGAAGGAGAGGAGTAGGTAGATAGCAGGGAAGGCAGCGTCTGAGCAACAGACAGGCGAGCCCCGAGTTACACAAAAAGGCTGCTCCTTACTCCACCCGCTGAGGCTTGGGCCTACAGACAGGGCCCTCTTCCAAGGGTGGCCGGCAGTGAGCCTGAGCCAGGGGAGGCTGAAGTTCCAGGGGCAGAGAAATACCCCTAGACTCATGAATTGGCCTCACCTTTAGACAGAGCTGGATCTCAGCTCAGTGGCCAGAGAAGCCTTGGGGTCCCTTCCCTTGGGTGCTGATGCCCATACTTTCCAGAGCAGGACCCCTGAGCTTGAACCCCTAGCCCCATCTCTTTATGGGAGAATCCAACTTGTCTGGCTCCCAAGGCCCTGGGCAGCCTCCAGCACTAGGTCCACCTCACCCCACAGAGAGGCAGACGTGCAGACCACACACAGACATGTGACACTCACGTCTGACGCCCCTCCCCCAGCACCACTGGCCACACCCACACCAGGCCTTACACAGCCCTAGGGAACCCTTTCAGCTGGAGGCTCCAGGGTCAGGGCCACCCTGCTGACTGCAGCTCCCCCTGAACTGTTGTCTCATCTGGACAGTGGGGCTCCCATCCTCACCCCTGCCAGGCAGTGCAGGGGAGGGTCACTTGACCCTGCAGAGGGAAGGGAGGATGCCAGCAGGTTCCTGCCCAGCCTAGTTCACAGGACATGACAGCAGCCGGACACCTGAGTCCCACAGCTCAGCCAAGAGGAAGGGCCATTGGCTGGTGCCAGGGGAGGCGGCCACAGGAGGAGCTGCAGTGAGGGAGGTGAGGTAATGCCGATGCTCCCAGCTAGTGTGGATAGAGCACTAAGATGACTCTGGGCACCAGCTAGAACCTCCAGGGATCTCCACATCCACCCCAGTGTGCCTGCGTGCGTGTGTTAGTGCGTGTGTGTGCACACGCGTGCATGCATAGGGGTGCTCCTGCAAAGGACCCTAGAGGTCCCTTCCAGAGCCCCAGGGATCTCCTGCCTTGGCCAACCCTAGCCTTCAAGACCCCAGACTGCACTCATTCATAAAGGTATGGGACACAGGCAGCCACTGCCAAGTGCTACTGGGCAGGAGATCAGACTAGCACGGGCATCTAGTCCCACTCCCTACCTGGAGTCTTCTTCACAGCTCCAACTTCCATTACCTCCCCTGCTGGCTCCATCCACCCACCACACTGAGACCTGGCTGAATGGAGCTGCACCACTGGCAGAGGCCTGTGAACTTATGCACCTTGTTGCTCACCACTATTCCCAGCCTAAGAAAAGCTGGAGACCCCACCCCAGCACTCCAAGTGCTCTGATGCACCAGCCCTGTTCAGTGTCTGTGTGTTAGCTCTAGTACCAGTGATGGACCGGGGGGGAGGTCTGGACGCCAACTCAGAACACCCAGCCCTTTCCTGCTAAGACCTTGCCCAGAATTCGAGGTGGGTATGTGGAGGCAAATGGAACCCAGCCCTGGGGAGAGGGGTACAGTTTAGGGACAGCCAGTGGGGGTGCTGCAGGACCCATCCCATTCCTAAAGGGGGACCTCTTGTGATCTAGAGGGCCACCAGAGGCCACACAGGCTGAGGGTCATGGATAGCTGTGGCCTCAAACCATGGCGCTCCCAAGGCTCAGGGGTAGGTACCCTACCACAGTAAAGGAGACAGCAGAGTTTGCAGGCCATGAATGCATGTGGGATGGCGGTCCTGACCCCAGTTGGCAACCTTCCCTTAACAGAACCACACTTAGCAGAGGGGAGAAGGACCTCCCTGGGGAGGGCCAGTAGCTTCTGGAGCCCAATAGGATACAATGGACAAAGGGAAAATAAAAGGCCCCTCCAACTGCTAATGGACCGCCCAAGTGAGGGGCCACCAGGAAAGAAACTGGTGCCCCTTGCCTTCCCTGGCCTCACCTGTCCAGCTGCCTCACGCTTCCTGCCATGGTGGCGTGGGACAGACAAGGGAGCCAGATATGGGAGGCTTGAGGGGTCCCAACATTCATGGGCCCTGGGAAGCAGGCATGTAGCCAGGGGTGCTGCAACTACAGATTGCCTTCTCCTTGTGGAAAAGTTGGACTGGGAGTGGGTGAGAGGAGAGGCCCACCCTCTCTAACCTCGGGGTCAGTCTTGGCAGAGGCGTTGGAAGACCCAGCACTGAGAGTTCTGCCTGTACGTGGAGGATTTGGGGGACAGAACACCCCCCAAAGCACAGGCGCTTTTCCCTAGGTGCGGCACAAGGGCAAGTAGCCGCCCAAGAATTTGATGCTAAAATAAGTCTTCCTCCTCCCGCGCAGTCTCTGGGCATTGCCGCCTCCCCCAGATACTACGGGGGTCTGCTCCGGGGTGGGACAGCGGCTCTGCTCTGCAAGCCTGTGCCCGCACGAGGACCCCTACTTCCCAGCCCCCGTCCGCATCAGAGGCCCCTGCCCATTCGGGGCCCCTCCTTCAGACACGGTGCGGGGGTAGGAGGGTGCCCAGGAGGGCTCGATGGGTCCGGGTCCGGCCAGAGAAGAAAGGGAGCCCCCGGGGAGGGGGCAGCCCGGCCTGCCCCGCCTGGACCCGCCCGCCCCATCGCGATTGGCCCCGCGCCGCTATATCTGGGCGCCCGCCCGCCTGGAAGCCAACGCCGCCCCGCCGCCCGTCCGCCCTCCGCGCCGGCCTCGGCCTTGCAGTGCCCGCTGCGTCCCGCGCTCCCGCGCCGCGTTCCGCCCAGGCCGCGCCCAGCTGGAATGCAGAAATCGCCGCCCGGCTACGGCGCACAGGACGACCCGCCCGCCCGCCGCGACTGTGCATGGGCCCCGGGACCCAGGGCCGCCGCTGAGCCGCGCGGCCTCCCCCCCGCGCCCGCCTCTCCGCCCAGCCCGCCGCACAGCCCCGAGCCCGGGCGCTATGGCCTCAGTTCGGCTGGCCGCGGGGAGCGCCCGACGGCCGACGAGCTGCGCATCCGGCGGCCCATGAATGCCTTCATGGTGTGGGCGAAGGACGAGCGCAAGAGGCTGGCCCAGCAGAACCCGGACCTGCACAACGCAGTGCTCAGCAAGATGCTGGGTGAGCAGCGGGCCTGGCTGGGAGGGCGCCCCCGGGCGGGCGGAGGGGCCGAGCCGCGCAGAGCGCAGCGGGGTCAGCCCGACCGTGCGCCCGACGGCGCCCCACTGACCGTGCCGTTGCCCGCAGGCAAAGCGTGGAAGGAGCTGAATGCGGCGGAGAAGCGGCCCTTCGTGGAGGAGGCCGAGCGGCTGCGCGTGCAGCACCTGCGCGACCACCCCAACTATAAGTACCGGCCCCGCCGCAAGAAGCAGGCGCGCAAAGCTCGGCGCCTGGAGCCTGGCCTCCTGCTCCCGAGCCTGGCGCCGCCGCCCGAGTCCTACCCTGCGGCGCCCGGTCCGGCCCGCGCCTTCCGCGAGCTGCCGCCGCTGGGCGCCACCGAGCTCGACGGCCTGGGGCTGCCCACGCCCGAGCGCTCGCCGCTGGACGGCCTGGAGCCGGGCGAGGCGGCCTTCTTCCCCCCGCCCGCGGCGCCCGAGGACTGCGCGCTGCGAGCCTTCCGCGCGCCCTACGGGCCCGAGTTGGCCCGGGACCCCGGCGGCTGCTACGGGGCGCCCGTGCCGGAGGCGCTCAGGACCGCGCTCCCCGCCGCGCAGCTCGCCGGCCTCTACTACGGGGCCCTGGGCGCGCCGGGCCCCTATCCTAGCCCGCTGTCGCCGCCGCCCGAGGCCCCACCACTGGAGGGCGCCGAGCCGCTGGCGCCTGCCGCCGACCTGTGGGCCGACGTGGACCTCACCGAGTTCGACCAGTACCTAAACTGCAGCCGGACTCGGCCCGATGCCCCGGCGCTCCCATACCACGTGTCGCTGGCCAAATTGGGCCCGCGTGCCATGTCCTGCCCGGAGGAGAGCAGCTTGATCTCGGCGCTGTCCGACGCCAGCAGCGCTGTCTACTACAGCGCCTGCATCTCCGGCTAGGCCTGCGCCCCTGCCCTAGCGCTTCTTCCTGCGCCACCTCGACCTTGCGGCCCTGCCGCTCCGCTCCCTCGCTCAGATGTACGTGTCCCACGGACAGCCTGGACGCTCGCGTTGGGCGGCCCACCTCCCGGGGCCCTGAGGGGTGAGTGGGGGTCGGGGCTGTTCCCGGGAGCCCAGGCCTGGGACCTGCTGGCTGGCCCTGTCAGGGTTAACTTTTGGAAGCACTTAATCCTTTTCCTGCCGTGTATTTCTAAAACCAGATTGTATTTTTTACTTTGCCTTTTTTATATACATAATACAATATATTTAATTTTTAATTAAACCTTTACACGTTTCAGTGACCACCAGCATCCATGCAGCAAGGGCTTTTAAATACAAGGAACAATAATGTCTGCTGTAAAGGAGGGGCCAGGAGCTGGGTCCCTCCCGGGTAAGGGCCGCAATAAAATGCCTGGGCCATTCCTCTGCACACCTGTGTCTGTGGTTGCTGCGCGAGGGGCACTGCCATGCAGAGCCCTGCGCTGCTGTCCCGTTCCTCTGGAAGGAGCCTGGCTCCCAGTTTGAGCCTGTGACTTTTGCCTTCCTTCCAGAACCTACCCCTGACTTGTCACCCACCCTCCTGGCCTGCATTCCCCTGTCACCTAGCAGGCCCCTCACACACCCCATGGCTCATCACATCCCCTCAGGAGGCCTGCAGGCTGACACTTGTGTGCAGACAGCATCTGGACCCCATTGGGGCCTCCCAGGAAGGGGAGCAGCGCACCCCACCCACTCTGCTCCTCAGGGTGACCTATCCAGCCTGTCTCAGCAACAACAAAGGGTCAATGAGCAGGGCAGGAGGCCCAGGTTTCACCTCAAGGTCTCCCAGCTCTGGAGCACCATCACAGTGGCCTGGGACCCTCCCAGGAGGACTGAACCCCTTTCCACACCCTCTGGTCCTTCTCAAAGGAGTATCCTAGGTATCCAGGGAAGGCTGGAGCATCACCCCAGAAATAGACCCTGCACACTCACTCCCAGGCCCAGCAAGTCTCAGCTGGAAGCAGGGTCTTGTGTTCCCTGGGGCAGGGCCTGTTCTACCCAGCAACCCTAGGCATACACCTTGGGCTGTCCAGCTGATCCTTGAGAGTCACCCACAGCTCTGTCTCCCATGTCGGGTGTGTTCACATAGCCTGAGCGCAGGCATGAGACTCCCAGCATGGCCATCTATGTGGGTGACTGCATGTGACAGACCTGCAGTGAGCCTGTGGCTGGAAGGGTGTGTGTCCATGCATCTGGGCTGGGTGCCCAGTGTGGGGAGGGTGAACAGGGAGCTGTTCTGCAGGCGACCTGCGCCTGGGCCACTTCCCCTCATCTGCATCAGAGCACAGAGGACTCAGAACTTCAGCGCACACTGGAGAGGACAGGGACAGACTAGCTGGGCAGGCAGGAGACGAAAGGGATCGTGTGAATAGCCCTGAGTCATCCCTGCTTGGGCTGGGGCACCCCTCAGGCACCCACCCCAGCCACACCTGTGAACACACACAGACACTGGACAGAGTGACATTCGCAGGGCCAGGATATAGCCCCTATTCTGGGTCTGCCCCACCTTTAGGTCAAGGCAATGTGGGGTGGCAGTCTGGCCCTCTACGTAAGGAGGGGAGAGCAGGAAGCTCCCTGAAATTCCTCCCTGAAGTGTCAGGGCAGGTTAGTAGGGGCTGAGCTGGGAGCAAGTTCTAAGTTGGGCAAGTCCCCAGGTCTAGGACAAGCAGGTCAGAGGGGACATGAGTGGGATCGATGCCCAACAACGGCAGGTTCTCCCAGCACGGCCCCTCCCAGCACTAGGCAGATGCTAAGAGCTGGGTCTCCTTGTGGAACCCACTGCCTGGCGCCCGCCTGGGAAGACATCCTTCCTGCCCAGGGACGGGGCTGCCATACCAGGCAGGACCTCAGGCCAGGGCTATCTCTGTCTCAGTCCTGTCTGCATCCTCCCCTGTGCCTTCCCCATGCTCTGGACCCTGCCTGGGAAAGTGGAGGACCCTCAAGATGCCAGTGTGGCTGCATGCTGCCCAGAGGACCCTGCACCAGGGCCACACTGGGCAGGCAAGGAGGACATGTGTGTTTGGAGCGCAGCCTTACTCTCCTGCCACCCGCAAGGACAAACACTTGGGAAAACCCAACTTTTAAGTTACGTTGTACACAATCCACCACATCCCTCAGTGTACAGCTCAGCGGTTTAGCATATTTACAAGATTAGAAGCCATTGCCACTACTTAATTTTAGAACTTTCCACCATCCCCACTACTCCCCATTCCCTCCTGCCCCTAAAAGATACTAAACCAAGCTGGGTATGGTGGGGCACGCCGGTAATCTCAGCATTCTGGAAGGCTGAGGCAGGAGGATTTCCACTTCAAAATCAGCCTGGGAAACTTAGCAAGACCCTATCTCAAAATAAAACATAAAAAGGGTCTGCAGATGTAGCTCAGTATGAAAGCCCTGGGTTCAACCTCCAGTACCCAAAAGAACAACAGAAACTAAACTGTTGGGCTGGGCGTGATGGTGCACACCTGCAGTCCCAGCACTTGGGAGGCTGAGGCAGGAGGATCACCACAAAGTTTGAGGTCAGCCTGGGCTACATAGTGAGTTCAAGTCCAGCCTGAACTACACAGAAAGATCCTGTCTCAAAATAAAATTTAAAAATAGTGTCCCATTGTGGCTTTGCCCATTCTGGACATTTCGTACACTCCAGTCTCCTGCATGCACAGGTTTACTTCCCGAGGTTTCAGTTACTGAAGAACCACAAGGGGGTTAGCATGGTGAAGAAATCTGAGAACACATTCATGTGCCTTACAGTGTTCCATTGTAGTATTTCTTTTCATTGTGAAGACTGAACTCAGCGCTTCACATGTGGGCAGGTACTTGGCTACTGTGCTATGCCCCCAGCCCTGTTTATTGTTTCCAATTTGAGACAGGGTCTTACTCAGTGGCCCAGGTAGTCCTCCCAACTTTTGATCCTCCTGCCTCACCTTCCCCAGTGCTGGGATTACAAGTGTGTACCACCATGCCTGGCCATTATTTTTGTATTTTATTATTAGTTTTTTGTTAATTTCTTACTATGCCCAATTTAAATTAAACCTTATTATAGATATGTATGTACAGGGTGACAGCATGGCCCACAGTACATTTCAGGGGGTTCAGCGCTGTCTAAAGTTTCAGACACCCTCACCCCAGGACGAGGGGCAGGACTGCACTAGGACTGAGGACGGGTGCAGTCTGTGTCTCCCTGCTTCCCTTGGGATCCTACAGGCCAGGCTGCATCAGAACGTCCTTCTTTCTTTCGGCTGAATAATAGTGTATCCTTGTGTGAATATGCCACATTTATAACTTACCAAACTGGGCTGGGGATTTAGCTCAGTGGTTTGGTCGCCTGCTATGCAGGCGCAAGGACCCGAGTTCGATCCCCAGTACCAAAAAAAGGAAAAAAAATGCTATAAGTCAGCAAACTGGCAGACATTTATAGTTTCTGCTTTTTGGCTATTGGGAGTAATACTGCTGTGAACATTTATATACAAGGTTTATTATTTATTTATTTTTAGTCAGGGTCTCGGTATGTAGTTAAGGCTGGCCTCAAACTCATGGCAACCCTCCTGCCTCAGCCTGACTGCTGGGACTATAGGTGTGTGCCACCACACCCAGCTATATACAAGGTTTAATGTGGATTTTTCTTTAATGTGGATTTTTTTAAAAGACAGGGTCTCACTATGTAGTCTAGGATGGCCTCAACCTTATGATATTCCTGCCTCAGCCTCCCAAGTGCTCGGATTACAGGCACAGGCCACCACACCCAGCATGGATGAATTTTTATTAACAATACATACTTTCGTATTTCTAATGACCGAGTCTGAAAAACAGGTTATCTGTACCCAGGAAGAAAATGTTCAAATGAGAAAAGGAACAGGGGAAGGGAGAATGGGAAAGGAGGAAGGGACAAGAAAAGAAAACAGAAGGAAAAAATGGAAACAAAGCTTTTGTAAATAAGGAAGGAAAGAGGGGTTGAAGGGAGGGCAGCGGAATGGGAAAGAAAAGCAAAATGATTATGTAGAGGTACAAACTCCCTGTGATGGATGTTATCATTATGCATATCTAAAATGTACCAGTTAAAAAAATATACACCCAAAGCCCCAGGTCTGGAATGGCTGACTCCAACCTCCAGCAGGCTCCCCAAACCAAAGCTCATGCCCAATCATACCACCCTGAACCCAGCCTGTCTGTCTGAAGGGGCTGGCCTGCTGCCCCACCCAGCCTCCCAGCACTTCTGCTCCAGGCTCAGTCTCTTTCACGGGAGGGGGCGAGGGGGCGAGGGGGCGGGGGGCGGTTCTGGGCCAGGGCCCAGGAAGCGCTGGACTGGAGTAGGGACCCTGCTTGCTCCTCCAACTGCCCAGCCCAGGTGGCTCCCCGTCCCACAACCACAGTCGCGGAGAGGCCCGTTCCCCTCTGACCCCACCCTGTATCCCAGGACCAACCACGCCCCCCATGACCCCGCCCTGTCTCCCCTGGCACCGCCTGCTGATCGCGGCTGCCTGAGAAAACAGGAAGGAGAGGGCTGGGGCTGGGAGCAAGTGCAGGAAGTGCAGCTTATCTCGGGCCACAGTTCCGACCCCTGGCCTCATGCCGGGCAGGGGGCGCCAGGGGCTGCTCAAGGACAGGACCTGGTCACCTGGCAGGGAGTCCTGGCCGCCTCTCCCTTGAGCCACAACTATCACAACTGGACTATGGGGAAACAGGCAGCAAGCTGAGGGGATGCCAGCAAGTACCCCAGGGTTCGTGAGGCTGGTGTCCCCTGAACAGCCAGGAGCAGAAGTCCTGTCCTCATGGCCTGGCAGTGACCCCGGGACATCCCACCTCCCCCATAGCGCACACTGCCACGCTGCCCCCCAGGCTCTGACCTCTCCATTTCCCCCTCAACAAGGACTCACTTCCCATAGCAGGTGCAACCTCCTTGCTAGTTCTGGATTTAACGGGGGTGGGGGGTGGGGGTGGCTGTGTTTACAAGGCTGGGTCTTTTCCCGGGGAGGGGGCAGGATGGGAGCTGTCCCTGGGCCTCCCCCAGGGTTCTGAAGGCCACTAACAGGGACAATGGGCTTCAGCACCTGGTACCTCCCAATGAGCATGTGCTTCCTGGGGGTGCAGGGCTTGTTTGTTTCCGGGCTAGCCGAAGCAGGGGCAGGGGACCTCCTTGCACACCTGTTGGTCTTGGGATTCCACATTCATGCTCACACGCAAAGGGCCCAGGGCCCACAAAGCCATGCATCCTCCAGGTCTGGGAGCAGGTGTTTCCTCCTTTTCCTCCCTGTCCACGGTGCTGCCTCAGCTTCTCCACTCACTCCCACCCTGCCTGCCCAGCTGAATCTGCGTGCACACAGGGGACTCAGAAGAAGCTGCCCATCTTCCACCCCTCCCCTCACTCCATCCAGCAACACTCTTGGGTGGTGG